CAAAGTAAGTAATCATCAACTTTGATGAGCTTCTTCGTAATTGTCCTTATTAGCAAAAGCTTCTTCGTAATTGTCCTTATTAGCAAAATAGTTAAACGTTTAACATCAAGTTGATAATTTGTTGATTTTAAGGGTATTTTTCACAAAAATTAATGATTTGAGGCGTCGGTTTGCAAGTACCAAGATTTGGCGGGGCGTGTTCTGCAAATATCCAAGACGTAAGCGGTACGTATGCAAATAGCCCTAACACATGCTGCTTCTGAGCAAAATTTGGAAGTGGTGCTTCGCGAATCACCATTCGCGATTCTCCTACCCGTCACTTGACCGTTGGAACTTCGAATTCAAACTCCCTCCCTCACTTCCCTCAAATAAAAACCGACAAAACAAAAAAGACGCAAAATTGCCACTGCAGGATCTGCGTTCGAGAGCGCTTCAACGCAACCAGAGACCTACTCCGATTAAGGTTCCCACACGTGAAGAAGGGCTGGGTCGGCTAAGAAAACCCATCCCCACCCTCCTCTTTTCTGATGATCCCGCGCCCCCTCCGTGACCCCCGAGCCCGTATCCTCCGTCTCGACCGTCCCTCGACCCCCTCGTCTGATGAGGTCTACGGCCGCGAGGTCTAGGGCGCCAAAGGGGAAAGCAACGAGGGAGGTGAAGGAGGAGGGGCCGGGCGGTTCGCTCGTCGGGTACAAACTAAACTGCTGGCTGTTCTTGTTGGGATCTGGGGCTTCTTGGTCCTGGATCTGGGGGTTTTAGAGGTGCTGTTTCTTGATGGGTTCGGCCCGAAGCTGGGGATGGAGATGGCGAGGGGGTTTGGGGAAGAAGCGAGGGTCACGGAGGGGGGTTTGAAGGGGAGGTTGAGGGTCGTTGAGGGCAAGGTCAAAGGGGCCGTCGGCGGTGGGGAAGAAGAGAGGGTCGCAAATTGTAGCTCTTCGGATTCTGTGTGGAAACTGAACCAGGTAAGCTAATTAAAATGCTAATTCCTAGTGGAGAAACACCCACATCTAAGATCTCCTTAGTTATTTATTGTGTTAAGTTGTTCTTTAATTTCTCAAATTTCAGAAGAGTGAGTATGAAACTAGGAATTTTTTCCCCCTCCATCCCCCAAAATTAAATCGCAGGGAGGCCATCACCACTTGTCGTTTCAGTGGAGGTGCGTGATCTACCAATCAATGGCGGAGGAATTGAGCGTTTGGGGAAGCCCTCTTCAGACATCGGGGATTCTAGCCGCCGGGGTGTCTGCCCGATCTCTAACCCTTTTATCAGGCAGAATTATAGAGGTAAAAGATAATATATGCTATCCATTTTCTTCTCATTTCACAAGATTATCGTAGCTTGTTCGGGCATCATCCAATCCAAGAAACAGGGAGATAAACGTTGATCCAAAATTTTTAATTTCTGATTTATATGTGTAGTGGTCTGGAGGAGGCAAGCTCGTCCCAACCTCGAGGTCGAGCAACGGCAGCTCATGGACGCTGGATAGATGGAGCTCGACGGCAGTGCAGTTGGAAGGGGAGACCTGGGTGTTGGAGTACCAGAGGAGCGCCCTCTTTCAGGGGTCAGGACTGATTCAATCCGCGTGGGAAATTTCGAGGCTGAGGACGCAGAGGATGGCGAGGGGATTGAGATGGAGGCTGGCGTTGGCCAGAACGACCTTCGGCGGCGGCGGCGGCGGCGGCGGCAGCTCTTCCTCTTACTACCGCGCTTCAGAAGGGATCCAACCTCATTTTAAGCAGCCAACTTAAATTAGGACGAAGGACTGCTCCGAGATCGTTTCACTCGGTCTTGCTGCTGGTTTTGGTCTCATCTCTTGTGAGATATTAGTAGCTAGGTGCTACTTGTTTCCTTTCTGTAACTAAACTATTGTGGTTGTTATTAGCGTCTTCGTCGACTCCCGCGCTTCAAACGTTGAAAATAATAAACAAATGTTGAACGGGTAAACAAGGCATGGCCATCGGTCATCCATCCCTTTGCCACCTAAGATCTAATCTCACTAAGTTTAAAATTGAAGATAAATCTTGCTGGCCTCGACCAGACCTACTTACTACTGCCAGCAAAAGTTAATAAACTCAGCTTACCTACTTCATGCTAATCTCACCTAAGACCTAATCTATAAAAATAGTCAACTTACTACTGCCAGCAAAAGTTAATAAGAGCCCAAATGTGATTGTGACATTCTATAATTGCAAGCAGGATAAAAAGAAAAGAAACTCTAAACAGGAAAAGAGATTCCCCTTGTACTGTGGGTCACATGAGTCGCGGTGATTTAATGAAACATTTACAGGAAGCCTTTTCACTAGTGTAAACCAACACACGCTTGATAGTAACGCTGAAATAAACTCAGCTTAAGTAAGCTCATTCGAATGACTCCCAACATTCACACGGCACAAACTTGTACAACCAAAAAAACACAGAAAATTTATCCATGCACCGCCAGAACACACATAAGAACATGTAACACTGAAATAAACTAAGCACACTGATGTACCTAGAAAATACAGGGGGGGGTAAAAAGAAGATAATGGTGTTCCACTTGATGAGATACCTAGCATTTCTTCTTCTGCCAAGGGAGACACAAAACAAAGCTCACATCGCACAAACTGTTGAAAGTATTTGAAACAAACATAACCGCAAAACCAATAGTACCCCGTTTCTGAGAGAATCATCTCCCATCATCTTTTAATGATCTTCAGCCAAGTGCCAAATAAGCACTGCATTAATAAAAATACAAATAGCATAATTAGCAAAAGCGATCAAAGCCTCCAATTAAATATACAATAATCAATACTTAGGAGAACAGTCATACCTCAACAAAGTCTTCGGCATAGATGTCATAATAGGATACACTGCAACGAGACCATTTTAGCTTACCTAACGATCTGACTTCAACTGATACTATATGGTGCAGACTCGATCGCTAATATAGAGAGATAAGAGAGGGGGTGGGGCTAAATATAGAGAGAACAGAGAGGGGGTGGGGCTAAAAACTGATACTATATGGTGCAGACTCGATCGCTAATATAGGGGTGGGGCTAAATATAGAGAGAACAGAGGGGGCGGGGCTAAAATAGAGAAGACGGTGTACAAGAACAAAGAAAGAACTTCAGAGCAAGGAAGATTTGACTAATTGATTTCAGACCTACATGATGCATGAGAGAGGAGATGGAAAGAGGAAGAGTAAGAGAGTTCAGAGTTCACCGTCCCAAACAATTTCCTTCAAAAAAACCAGGAAAGCTGTGAGGAGAACTTGATGCCCTTGTAAAGCACCAGAAAGGACCGCGAAAAGGTGAGATGAGAAAGGAAGACAGAACATAGCTAACGGTGGCAAAGGGACATGCCAATTCAATGCAGGCTAAAAAGGACACATGCAAACGTACAGAGATCTAACTACATGATGAGGAGCTAACCTACTTCATGCTACAAAATCTACAGCATCTCTCTATGAAAAACCTACACTTGAGCCTCTACTCCTTGCTATTTTTTCACAAACTCCTTGCTATTTTTCACAAAGAAACCACACACCAACACTGGAAATAGATTAACAACTGTCAGCAGACGACACTAGAAGAAGAATGCAGTCAAGCGCTCGCCACAACTAATCTCCAACCATTGTACTTCTTAAGCAACACCTCCTACGTCCATACTCCATTTAATATGTCAAACTCATAGAAGACGAAGATAATCACCATCATTTTACCATATAACACTGAACTACGCTACAGCCAGTATTGCACTAATGCAAATCATCATGTATCTTTCACCACCTGCCAAGCTTGAAAGTTCTGATCTTCCTCCTTTCCAGTTAGACTAAGATCATCTTCTTCTTACCTCAAAGATCTACTGTGATGACAACCAACTTCTAAATAACCTTGTAACGACGCACTCGACCCATCTAATAATTAAGTAGCCATATATACAAAGAGTATATGTACAACGACCAAACCCGAATTTCTCAGTTGTCCGCAATATCCAAATGAAGAATTCTCCTCAGATTCTCAGTGGCAGAGGAGAAAGACTCTCTTGAAGGTGTAGATGGAGCAGATTTGGCAATAGGTGGCAGTTCAATGCCCAAAGATGGAAGTGGCAATTCTAAGGAGACACTCCTCTTCTGTCGAAGAGAAAATTTCGGTATAGGTAAAGAACTAGGAGGAGGTGAATTGGAGTACGCTGGACCTGCCCAGAGCTCAGAATAAGCGAATTCCTCAATATCATCATTAAAGCTGGGTCCTTTAGTAAGGGATTTGGGGCTAATAGGGTTGCTTCTTATGTCATCGTTAAAGCAGGGTTCTCTGTCAGTGTATTTGGGACAAATGGCAATTGGGTTGCTTCTTTTACTTGATTTTGGCGGTTCTGCGTAGAAGCAGGGAGACTGAGGTTCGTAGAAGTTGTTGTAGTTGGATGAGGGACTGATTGCATGAGGGGGTGGGAGAATACCAACACCTGTTTCAAAGGTGCGGCAATTGATCCCCTTGAACCCTCTTGATGGAGAAGAACCAAAATGGTTAGACACCCGGGATTTGCTTCTGCTATAGTACTGGTTCCGGTGCTCAGCAACAACAACTAAAGTCTCCATTTCCAGAATTTTGCGATAGTTACAGTTCAACCTACCAATAAGAAACTGCATAAATAAACAGCTGATACAAAGGTTAAAGTTGTGATGTACTGGTTAAAAACTTTGTTTTCAAGGTTAATCAATACTTGGATCATGGCAAATAGGGTTTCCTGCGTCCAGACTGAAATTAATGATTTAGGATGTGTTCGAATCCCCCCATCCCCCAATTGAAAATGAATTACATTGACAAGGTGAAACTAAAGCTTATTAGTTGATTCAAGGTAAAGCAGTAAGTACAAATAACCAAGAGTATTATGTAGGACGAAAAAAAACAGTGAAAATTCCATTTTATAAGAGGCAGTATACCGTCAAACCTCAAGCTCACAGATGTCAGAAGCGTCTCAAAAGGTTAATCTCTGAACTCGGTAGTCTCAGTAACAATAGCACAGCCTATCAAATTAAAAGAGTTCAAACTATTACTAACAGCAAGATTAAAGGGGGGGAAAAATCACACCGACCACGAGTTTAAAAGAAGAATCATATTGGGGCAAAAACAGGTGCAAACCTTGAAGATCTGGCGGTAGATCTAAACCCAGATCTGCAACAAAACCCCAATCCAGCTGCTCCCTACAGTAGATCTGCAACAAATCTGGCCCTAATCGAGCACATCGAATTAAAAATAACGATTTCAGTTAAGAGGGGGGGAGGAAAGCCAACAAAAATAGGGGGAGAAAAATCAAAAGACCGCTCAATTTGACCCACCAATTCAGCTAAAGAAGGTGGGGGCAAACCACGGAGAAACCATCTACGGTAATATCAGAGCTAGAAACCCTAAGACCCGATCCGAGGCAACCCAAGATCCCCATTCGTAATTGAAATCAGCCGGCGTACTCCGCCAAATTCTTCGGGGGAAAGACGCCGACGATCGCCGCGGCGACAGGACTCGGTCCGCGAGGAGAACGGAGGAGGATTTAATGAAAGGTTTTTTTTTTAGAGGGATTTTTCGGGGAGATTTAAGAAGAGCTAGGGATTTTTTTGGTGCTGAGGAGAGGGAGAAAGGGGAAAGCTTCGGACCCGCTGCCAACCGACCACGGATCTGGAGACGGACGCTCTCAGTTAGATTTTGAAGTACACCCAGAGGAACAGTCCCTCGCTCGCTACCCTTTTATGCGGACGTCCGCTTGGAAATTGTCTGCGACGGCTCTGAACTGTTGCCTGGTTACCGTACGCTCCGTTTATTGAACCGTTGTCGATTAATTTGTAGAGTAGAATCGTGGGCGAGGGTGCCCTCTCCTTTTGCGGGTTAAGGTAGAGTGGTCCCCACATAATGATGGAGTGCAGCTGGCCCTGCCCTCAAAAGATTCATTCAATGCTCCTGGCTTTCATCTTGGAATGGGGGTCACGGAGTATTTGTATTATATTATATATTTATTTGTGGCTGTCTTTTTCGCCTTTAATTCGATGCTGTACGAGTTTTTGATGTGAAATATTAAGTACGCGTGAAGCAACCTAATTAGGGGAAGGGCCCGTAATAAGTCTTCATGCCGGACGAATTATTGCATAACGTCCGTTTCTAGGGGATGTTTGGTTCGTTTTCATAACTTTTTTAAGAAATAGATTGTTTCAGTTTGGCTCACACATAAAAAAGGGTAGGAAACCAATGTATTTATTTTTCTTGTGTTTGGTTCGTATGTAAAAAAAGAAAAAAAAAATTTGTTAATTTGATATTTTCCACTTTTCTTGTGTTTGGTTTGTTTTGAAGTTTATAGGAAAAAGTGTTTATGGCCACCATGGTAAGATTAACCCCACTATATACAAATTTTTTTGTGCTCGTTATATGAGGTAATCTTAATCGTATAAGATTTCGAATGTAACATGAACAAATAATAATATCCCAATGAATTATAAATTTTTACTTGTATTAATTAAATCATACGAAACCTGAAATGACAAAACCAATTGACACTCATCATAGCCTAAATTGAACGCAAATAGAACTCCAAGTGACTGAACACAAACATAGCACAAACCAGAGCATCGGGAGAACCGGTGTGCACGAACATGAACAAGGTAAACTATGTAAAAGGAACAGAGGTTACAGATCTAATCAATACAGATCCAAGTGACTGAACACAAACACTCTTCTAATTTAATACTATTATACAAAGTAAACTATGTAAAATGAACAGAGGTTACAGATCCAATCAATACGAAACCGGTAGAGATCTTTAAAATTGTTCTGGAACCAAAGGTTACAGATCCATGCACACAATATTTGGTGATGAATCGTCAGGATTCATTGCCTCAAAATCATGCAACACTCATAGGCAGCAACACAAGGACCAAGCTTCAAAACTCTCAAATCTCCTTATAACATCCGAGTTGTCTCAAATAAAAGTAAGAGGTATATGTCTGCACAAAGAAAAATGAAAATTCATCATAGTAGAATGTACCAAACGCATCAGGAGCATGGCATGTGGGTTCTATTGTATAAACTGCATCAAAAGTGTTGTCTGCATCAAAAATGGAAATTCATACTTCACCTGGACAGTGCACGCATGAGAGAGTTTCTTTCGTTCAATTGGCTCATAGAATCTCTCGTCAACGATCATCTCTGATCCTCTCCATAGGGAGCCATATGTCTCATGGCAGTTTTCGAGGAGTGGTAGTATTGGACAGGTGCTCAAGGTGGACCGCTAACCTAATTTCATATCAAGCATGTTGGCAAGTCAAAATATAAACTTGGAAATATTTGATATGACTCAGTTTATACAAGCAAAAATATTAAAATGTAGATGAATCAAAAGTACATAAGAGTATTGCATCATGGTCTCCACAACAGATTCCCTACCCTATATATACAAAAGTACATAAGAGTAATTGATACCTTAACAATTAAGGTTAAATAAACTATAGAGATGAGGAAACTTCAGAGTGCTTTAATTTAACATACAAGTGATATATGATCTCTGGCAAGTGATAATGACAATGTTCTGACTTTGTCACTTTTCACAACCTTTACTCCAGAAGCTGAAAACTAAAGGGTTGAAAAATATTTCTTTTGCAATACAAACTAGTATAGTCTGGAGCAAATCATATTTTGTTCTAGTTTTTCTTTGCAAATATCATAATAAAAATAATTGTCTTTCACACGCTATGGTTCAGGGATCATAAGCTGTGTAAGCAAACGAATCATTAGAAGAGTGCTCCTATCAAAATATACACCATAGTTTTCACCTCCTAATATAATTCTACCGACATCTTGTTTGATACATAATCCATTTCGAAACACTGAGTGCGATATTATAATTAACTCAAGGTCAAGGAAAGAGATAGTCAATTTTCTACTAGCCTTATGTTATACGTAATCATAGTAGATATACTAATTTAAAGGGTAAATTTCACAAACCCCCACAATAAATTGTGGTGTTTCCCAAAATACTCCTAAGAACATTATTTTTCCCACTAAGCACCCAAAACATTTATTTCAAAGATGCATATCATATTTGTCATATTCTCTTTGCTAGAATCTAAATTAGCACGAGAAATAAACACTTAATGTAGAAGGATCACAAATACTTTTCAAGCTATAAATTTGGGCTACCAAAAGATTAGGACTTATAAACTTCCCTTCATATTTTAAAGAAGACATACACATGCTTATGATGGAAGAGTAATGCAAATATGATGAAAATAATGTTGAACAATTGAAATTAGTGATGTTAAGAATAAAGAAAAACAAGTTGCTGCTAGAGAGGAAGTTTTAGAAGTGGTCAAAGAAGCAAAATAAGAAAGAAAAGCAAAGTGAATTGAGCAAGCATTAGCATGTGCAATCATGAGAAAATATGCGTTATGAATCAATTTATCACTGTCGATCTCATCAAATGGTAAATAAAAGGAAAATAAATTTGAAGATGAATAACAATTTAAAATCTAAATAACAAAAAAGTGAGAAACATCATTCTACGAAGTATTAGCATGATTTTTAGTATAATGCATGTTTTCCTATCAATATTGCAGTAATTGAAAATTTTCATGTGATGATTGGAAATATTTAGTCTGAGGTTGAATTCTTCATCATCTTCGTTTAGTAAGGATTTCCAAACTCACAATGTGATAGACACTTTAAACCATTCCAAAATTCTCCGTAACTTTAATCATCATATACCAATCCTTCATTTTCATAAGAAAGACCTAATTGTACCAAAAGCTTGCTATTTATTGTAAAAGATGTCTCTCCCCTCTTTGTTTATATTTCTCTTAAATTGTAACTCAATCAATTTTATTTTTCTTTACATTCAGAATTTTAATGAGTCCGAGAGTAACGAATTGATATACGACTACCAACTTTTTTCTCATTAATTAATGCAGTTCACTTTGCTTCTCCAGCTTTGCTTCTTTGAATTTCATTGAGCTTTCTCTCCAATAGCAATTTGTTCTCTTTGTTCTTACTCTTACTAATTTGAATATCTTTCATAATAAACGATAGCATTTTACAAAGCTAATTCCTTTCAACCAAAATAAAATACTCAATCATGTTATTACAGGTTTTGTATGATTTTTCATCTCAAACAGATATTTTTGATGAATTCGGTTATTTACTAGTTTAATATGCTATTTTCACACTTTTCTTTTGGTAAGTGTAGGTAGGGAAAATTGCAAAGAAGAGAATAAAAAAAATTTGACTTTGATTCCTTTGATCTCGGTTACAATTTGATTACAAAAGAGAGGAAAACGAATTTGGTTTTCCCCTTTGTTTAAAACTGGGTTCTTCTTGGCAGCGATGGAGTGCTTCCTTCGATTGATTACGTCGAACTTGCTCTCCGTTGACGATCCGACCGTCTTTATCTCGTGGGAACGATGAACTTTCGTGGAAAGTTTTATGAATAACTCTGAATGAGTTTTAGAACTCTGAACGAGTTTGAACTCTGTGAATAGAGTTGTTGGAACCGAAAATTCGGTTAAGGATCAAGCTGTTTTTCTGTTGTCGAAGAATCCTCTCAGATTTGATCTTCTGAGGTTGATTCAAAAATCCTATCTCCAAGGATTTCGTTGCTGTTGTTGCCGAATCTCCAAACCTGAGTGGTTTTGATGATCAAGAATCCAACCTCTGATCTGATTATCAAAAATCCGATCCTCTCACTCTGTCCAGTTTGTTGATATTTTATAGGGGGATAAGGGGTTGTAACTGACCCCTATATCCGCTCCTACGTGGGCGAAAATCCCTCAGAACATGGGATAAACGGTTCTGAAACCGTTCGACTCGTGTTTGAACAAGTCAAACGCCAAATCTGGCGTTCAGAACCCAACTTCGTGTTCTTTGAATTGAGACGCGAAGTTGGGTGTTAGCTGAACACCATTGAACGCGAGGGTCGCTCGCGTTTGGCTTGTGCATTGTCGAACGCGAGGGTCGCCGTTGGTTGAACACCATTGAACGCGAGGGTCGCTCACGTTTGGCTTGTGCATTGTCGACGCGAGGGTCGCTGTTGGTTGACGACGCGAGGGTCGCTATGGCTTGACGACGCGAGGGTCACTTGGTGACGCGGGGATGACATCCGCGTTTCAGAAGGAGCTTTTTGATTTGTAACTTCTTCTGTAGAGCGTTGCAAGGACCGTTGTTCAGTAATCCTGGCTTTAGCTGTTGTGGAGTGTGAAAGACGTCAGATTGTAACTTTCACTGTAGATTGTGAAGACTGCTGAATAGAGTTTTCATCCGTCGTCGGAAGTGTCGTTGAATTGTAACTCTTCTCGATCTATGTGAAAAGCCCTCCATTCGCAACTTTCGTTCACCGACCCGAAAACTATTTGATTGTAGCTTTCGTTGTTGGAGCTAGACGGGAATCAACATCCATAGTGTCTTAAAGACGGATATTTGCCCTCAGCTCTCTACCAAGCAACTCACCAACTAAGTCCAGCCTTTTATTTCTGAAATCATCCCACTACTCATCAGCATCTCTAATAGTTGTTAATATAATATTAGTGTTGTTGTCGCAGCCATCAAGATCAATCATCTCAGAAATGAGGTCGTGTTTGTGGCAATTGTGGAGTTGCGGATGCAGTGATTAGGAAGTCGTCTGATTGTGACCTCCATTGTCGGAGCTTGTTTGGATAAGCTATCTATTGTGATTTTTAGACCGCCTACAGAACCCCCTCCAAAGTTTTTGAAAGTTCGTGATTGACTGGGACGAATTTTCGGAATACTTTGG